CATTTTTTAGTTAACACAAATATTTTTTACAGTGTTTAAACATTTTTTTAACGCATGTACATATTTTGAATTGCACAAATAATCTTTTATAAAGTTTAAATATTTTTAAAATAAAAAATATTTATTTAATGTAATATAAATATTAACTTGTTTTACTAATGACTTATATCAACAAAATTATAATTTAAATATTATACACGATTAAATATTCATACCAACAGTTTAGATTTTAAATTATGAATATTGTAAACTATACAAACATTGAACTATACAAAATGTGCATATAATTATTGAAATGATTGTATAATTAAAATAGTTTATGAATTTAATTTTAAAAATTATTAGTATTATAATAATAATAATATTTTTATTATTCATATATATTATTTGGAAATAATACATGAACAATTTTTTATGATCCATGAATTTCTAAAATAACACGAATAGGTTTAACGATACAACATTTTTTTAATTATGAATATTTCTAAAAGATGCACATTTTTTGAATTATGAATATTTTAAAAATTATTTCTGTTATTTTTATACAAACATTTTTATAATTTATAAGTATTATTTAAGAATAATACATGAACAATATTTGAAAGTTATCTTATTATTGGCATTATAATTTACATACAGTCTACAAATTTTTGTAAAAATAAACAAATGCAAAATAGGTCGCGTGGACCGCAGACCATTTCTGCTCCATGAGTGTTTCTGTTTTTGTACATTAAATGTAGTTATCCATAATGGTTCTGTACATACATGTGGTGCAGTGGCTGGGACGTGTATTGTTCTAGCATTAGGTGGAGGGTTTGAGACCTGGTCGTCATACTTTTTTTAGATAAATTATCGCTCATCCTGAGAGTTAGGTCCCATCGGTGGTTGACTTTTTTTGCACAAAAAGAAAAAGAAGCAAGGGTTTTGTGCAATAACGCGTCCATGTGTTATTGACAGTGGCCCGTGCCATGCTGGTGTAGATGGATACGCCCGCGTACGGGGAGGGTGACTGTATTTGAACGGTCTCACAAGTTTAGTGACTACAAACACGTATTTTGCAACTTTGTGCACCAAAGTAACCATTGCGTGCAAGTTCTATGACCCGTGGTGTATTTACCTCGATATCTAAGTATCTTGGAAAAGTTAAACAACAAGCTCACAGCATGAGTTTAAGTGAGCAAAGCATAGTTTGTGTAACCACTTATGTATCATCGAATAAACTACTAACTTG